AAAGGAAAGAGGAGCACTTGGTCGATCAGATGTTCGCACTGTACACAGTAGGAGTGTGCGTATGCCCCCCAACTACCCGCTCAAAGGACGATTAAGAAATAAGAAATTAGGGAAGGAATCATCCTTTATTCAACGTCCTTCATTATCCAACGGAACAGAATTCGTGAAGAAAAAAACCAACGTAAGTCGACCATCAGGGTTGGCGTTAATGTATATATAGTCTAGCTTGAGGGCAAAGAGTCTTCCTTCCAAGCAATCCAGTGTAAAAGTGTAAAAAAAAACTTCCCACTAAGTTGTATACTCGTTGGCGAGAAAAATAAGAAAGATTTCCACAAATGCTATGCTTGTGAAAGGCTGCTATTTTGTGGTTCGTAAGTCACTGTTCCGTACATTTAAAAAATATTTTTTTCTTTTTCCAGCATTAACAGAATATCACTATTTTCTGAAGATGGCAGTAAGTAATATGACTAAGAATAAAAGGTTTTATAGTTGATCGATTTGGCAGGAATGTTGAATTGTTCGCACACCGACCTCCAGAGGGAATGAAAGCTTGCAGGTCATATGACTATTCATGTGTTCGCATTCCAGAAAAAAAAACCGGTGGAGGATGAAGCAGGACTGGGAGATGATTTAGATAGCAGACTCGGAGGAGTCTTCCTAGCGAAGCAAGCGGACATCGTGAACGTGGCATTCTGGAGCCTGTGTGTCGTATCATCACCAAACCTGACGTTTTTAGAAGACAATCGTTGAACGTTTTATGAGACATTTTCCTTTAGCCATCTGACAGTGGCTTCAACCAAAGGTTCCAGCACCCAAAGTCAAGTGATACCATAGTAGTCGCTAAAGCGTATTAATTCCAGATACAGCTGGAATTTATTCGCAATCCTTTTCTAACGGTGGCCGATCTTTCGCCACAGACACCAAAAAGGGGAAACATTTGATATTTTCCACAAGTCGTTCTCAAAAGAGAGCAACCCTATCCATGGAGTCTCCAGAAATCTCTGGCTCGGAAGATGGAGTTGGAAGATGGTTCGATTACCAAGGTGGGGAGGGGAATGAAACGGAGAAGATGAAAGTCCAGATCATCGTTTCCATGAAAAGGGAACTCGGTGCATCAATGAATGTGAAATAGCTGCAGATGTGACGGAAGTCTCCGTAATCTGAGTGTACAAATATCGTACACCTGTCCGAAGCGGGAACGGAACTGCTGATCTAATGGAAATAGCAGGAAGAGTTCTTCACCAGCGTAAGGACTTCACCTCACTCGTGGATATGAAAATATTATCGTCCTTCACGAGGGAAAATATACTTCCAACGAGACTAACTGGCAACACGATGGTCTCTGGGCCCTTTCACGGGAGCAGGGCTTTACTTGAGCTGAATGCAATTCAAGTAATGAGGAGATCTTATGCAACATGTGAATTACTTATAGTATGAATATTGAAGGAGAAAATTGAACTTTTTATGGCTGTTTGGGAATGTTCATTACGCGTCCTTGATGAACATTCAGGGAATGCATTATTTGACTAGTTTCTCATCACTTTGATTTTCGGGCATTTAAGACAGGATAGGACATAAGGACAGAACGTTCCCAAGGACGCGCATGGAAAGTTAACGATATTGGCAATGAAACGTTCATTAAACATGCACTAAACGTGTAGGTGCGACTTGGAGTGTTAGTGTCTGAAGATTATGGTGACTCCTTGCGCAACGAAATAGCAATTCGTTTCCTCCGATATGCGGCAGGTTTATCTACAACCAGTAAGTACCAAAAATTAGGACTGATTACATTTGCCCCAAATGACCTCGTATCGTGTAGGACACTGAGCACTACCTAAGCCGATCGACAAATGTGTGTGCATGACATCTCCACGGGGGAAACGCTTCGAGATATGAACAGGAGGTTTTCGCATGCGTCTTCCTTGCCATCCGAGGATGTGCCTTTGTGGAATGAAATTTAAGTATGGACCTGCGAAAGGTGAGAAAAAAGTATAAAAAAGGTGATTTGCGCTTCGTGACTGTGCTGAATAGTGCATTTTCTTTGTCTTCCTACATTCGTCTGAGCTGATATGCACTGCTACCATGTCTTAGCACGAGTACTGACACAACAGTTTTTTGTCGTCGTCATGAGACCTGCAAACAGCCTCGAGGAGAAAGCGTTCTGGGGGAAGAGGAATAGGATTTTCTCAGGTTTCATTATTGTGATATGAGATCCCAATAGAGCTCTGAAATTTTATTGAATAGAATATTTTTAAGTTCCACATGGATTTTTGCAAATTATTTTCCGAACTCCAAAAACCAAGATGACTCCATTTTCATTAGTGGATTCCCTTCTTTCGCCCAATACTACGCCAAATTTTCCACGGTTCTATTAAATAGGTAATTTAATAGGTGCTCGTAAAAGGCTAAAATGTGGCTGTAAAAAAGTTTCTTGCAGTCCTACACAGATGGCTGGCGCATGCGAGGTTCGAGCAGAGCCGTTTCTAGACAGCAAGGCTTTAGAGCATTAAGGCTATACTGATTAGGTAGGAAACGCATGAATTAACTTCCACAGAATTTCATTGAGAGCAGTCTACACGAAAAAATGAAAATCAATGACAAATGGCGTTGACGCCAATGCATTTCATCTAAATGTTTAACTGTCAACCTGTTCGCTCCCACAAAAGTTACACTTGTCCTTCGAGAGGTTTCTAGTCCCGGAAATGGAACCTCGCAGATCTAGAAAAGAAAAACTCATATTCGGGCTCCTACTCTTATCACGACATGTCGCATCTGCTGATTTGATCCCATATTGATTCGTGCATCCATAACAGAGATAAGAAAGCGTGACATCAGAATCTCAGTAGTTGTCCCTCGGAAGTTGCGCCATCAATTGTGTGCAGCAGGAACCGATTCCCTGCTACGTCTTCAACTATCGGGAGACCGATCGTTCGTGTCAGTTAAATGTCAGCATTATGTGCGGGCTCGTGGAAACCAATGGATACCGTGCCTACGTCCAGAGTGAGTTCACAGTATAATGATTTCGTATCCTCAGATTTAGAAACGTGACCGTGACCACCATTTTCCGAAATACAGGGTTGGGTCTGATAGCGTATCCGACGATCGAGAATGCGAAAGTGTCCTTCGACGGCTGGAACGGAAAGTACCCATCACCAGCAAGAGGGATCGTCAAGTTCCGTTGCAAACATCCGAAAGAGTACTCGGATGGAGCTCTTCTTCACGCAGCTGAATGCGCCCCTTGAAGCCAAATTCTTGGTGGATCTCTTTCCGAGAGGGTACAGTACAATGTAAGAGCATTAATATTAATAAATGGAATTTTCTCGCTTCTGTAGGATTATGTTTTCAAATGGTTTCAAAGAATTAGCAGCTACTAGCTTTCTGTTGGATAGTAGCCCTATGAAAATATTACCAATGGGGTCATTCCACGTCAAATCAGCACACTACAAAGCATGACCTCGTTCAATTTTGATTAAATTTGGAGAACAGCTTCGTACAATTGAGAAAGTGGGAAATCCATAATACTTTTCTCTTCAGTCACTTAGATCTAGAGATGAAGATGATACCTCCTTTGTTAAATTTTAGCACCTCTGTCCTTAAATTCGCTTCCCAGCAAACAATTGGAAACACATAACGTCGATTCAACGTTGAATCAACATTGAATTAACGTTCGGAACGTTGATACTACGTTGGTCCAACGTAGCCATGTTTTGTTGGGTTATTACTTTTCTTCTTTCCAAAGTAGAGGAATCCTTCATGGCTCTTCAGAAAGGGCTCTTTCTGCCCTTTCCGATAGCAGTATATTTGTTAGTAATTTCTCAAGAAAAAAGACTAGCGATGAAATCGAAAATCAAACTTATAATGATATTTTGCAAAACATTTCCCTTCTTTGTTTTCAACCAAATTTGTTCTACAAACTTGCCTCTTTAGGTAAAGCAAGTCTGCCGAGAATCATCCTGAGATATCAATAAATTTTTCCAACATTCGCAGTTTCGTCGCTGAAAATATCAATCCATTCACAGTTGCACCGGCTTGGTTTTAAAAGAAATTTCCTATGATGTCCGTTGGCGGAGTGGTTACTCACACGTGGGCTTTGGGAGATACAGATGGATACTTTGACGAGCTTTCACGAGCAGCTTTAGAATTTTTAGCAGGCAAAAATTGACAGCTGTGACGATTCTCAAGGCCGTAGTCGACGGGAGTCAATGTGAGTCCTTGCTTTTGGCCTGCCCTGTATATATAGACGATAGTGACAGAGTGAGTTAGTGACTGAGACAATGCCTAACGCTAATTCTAATCATAATTCTAGATGAAGTAGAGATCTGAAACTTGGTACACAAGTCGTTATTGGGATGTAAAGTTCAGAAAAAAATCGGACTTTGGAGGAAGGAACATGCCCCTTGGAACCAATTTGAGGGGGATATGTTTTTAAAGATATATGGTGGATTTTTGAACAGTGCTCTAAAATAATCCTACTCTATTGGATAATACAGAATTACCAAGTGGAGCATTATTTTCTCGATTTTTGTGATGGCTTTTTGAACAGAGCACTTTCCGATAATGCAGCTTTATTTCCAGGAAATTCTCTATTATGAAAGAAGCGATTTTTGAACTGCGCATTTTCCATAATGCTCCATTTTACCTAGACATCGGTTCGTGATCATAATAGAATAGGTCCAGAAGTCCTCTATCCTCGGAAATGTTGCATTATTTTCATCAGTCGCAATGGAAGGGCTGCACGGCTTGCATCGTGTGCAATCGTATCGCCTCGTGTTAACTCCTTGATATCGTATTTGTTCCCGCTTTGTGTATATCTTCCGCCAGATGACATTCCCCCGAATGGAAAACTTTTTCATCCTGATATATTGGGTTAACCATCTGAACTCTAAGGAACTCGGAGAAGTAACCACCAAATTGTCACAATCCTAGGATTGATGATGCATAGTTTTTCCACAATAAATCATATCCAAGAAAAGGAACAAGTTTAATTTGTCTTTTGCTGCTCATTCCAGAACCGTTTGCGATGACTCTCCTGACTCATGCAATGAGGTTGTCGAAATTTCTCCTGCATGCGATGGCGATTCTGTTTCAGAATTATCTGTATCTTCAGGATCGGGGTCGAACAAAGAGATATTGAAGTTCTCTTGCTCAAACTCCTTCATGTATTCCTTGAAAGGGTCGAAATCGTCCTTCAACTTCGTCGCCAGTTCCGCCTTGGCTCGAGTGTCTTCCAGGTACCGCATCCTCTGGGAGAACCCAGGTCGGGCTTCTCGTCTCTCTGACTCTATGAGCAGGTCAATGTAAGCAGTGACCCCCAATGGATCTGGTTTCAGAGCTATTTCTTCGAGTCTCTGCAAGCAGCGGTGTGCCACCTTGGTGAGGTTCAGAACTTCTGCCCTTTCTTCATTGAATTTATTCATGAGTTCCTTCATTATTCCTTGAGCATTGAGCTTCTTCCCTGCAGCTTGTTCATACTTCGCTTTCAACTCATCTGAGGTCTGTGTAATCTCTTCTTCTTTCAAGTCAAAACGATATGTGTTGTTGACATGCTTCCTCCAAGAACATTTATTAGGACAGACCAAACACCGACCTGTTTGATAGTCTACAACATGGCAGTCTCCCTTCAAATTGTCGTCCGAGACAGTGCAAGGATAGTGGCAAGTGTAGTTGCATGTCAAGCAGTTCGTGACAAACTCCTCCTTCAGGTCCACCTTCTCCTGCTTCAGGATCTTCACTTTATATTCGAACTGCTTGTTGGCTTGCAGGTCCGCTTCGTGCTGCCTCAACGTTGTATGCTCTTGCCTCAGGTGTTCCAGTCTTCCCAATGCTATAGATTGGAAAGAATACTGCTTAAAACCTGTTCATTCGAGACTTACATTTTCAAAAAGTCGTAGCGATTAATAAAGAAATAAATCTACCAGCGAAAATCTGCGGTTGAATGCCTTGGAGAACTGCGGCCAGCGTTTTCCTCTCTTTCAGCACTTCCTTCGTCAGAGTCAAGCTCACGGCTTTGGTTTTATTAAACTTCTTGAAGAACTTTTTGAAGCTTTGGGAGCTCATATCCCAGTAAGACTTATCAATTAATTCGGCTGCCTTTCCGGGCTCTGGGAAGAGAGCTGCGTTATTAAACTTGAAATGATCTTTGTAAGGAATTTTGGCATACTCGATAGCCTCTAATGCAGGAGGTTTTTTACTGTCGGCAAAAGTTACGAATACATATATGTTGTCATTTACATCTTTCCCGAACACGGACAAAATGGAATCGAATATATATTGTTGAGTGGCTGTCAGTCTTGCCATAGCAGATTGAACAACAAAGCATATGCCGTCTAGCTGATCCACCCCGAAATCTTCCCCGTGAGAGAAGAAAGCCCGAATCTGATTCCTTAACTCCTCATCCGCATGTATTCCATCTGTGTCGCCGAATCCAGGCGTGTCGATAACGGTCAAGCCGTATGGGAGAGCGAATCCTTCTTGCTTGTGCAAGTCGTAAGCAGTAATCCATTTTGTCTGACTGTGAGCTTGAGACTTCCTACTGCCTTCGTCTGCGACCAATTTGAAACGGAAATCGTTCTCCCATCTCACTCCGAATACGAAATTGGCAATGCCGTTGATGAGTGTACTCTTTCCTGAGGGAAAACCAACATTCAAGTCATGTAATATATTATAATTTGCACTGCAATTCAATTGTCTTGCAAGTAGCATCTGTTGCTTCAACGAAAATTTTCATTTTTAGCATAGCCAAAATAAGGTCTCCACCATTTGAAGTGTTTTGTAAGGCCGCATGTGAGATATAAATCGTCTTTATTAGGCGTAATGGTGTAATGTATGAAACCAACTTACTCGTAATAGTAACTATTGCAAAATGGTTTCTTCTAATGGTGTCGGTACCACTATATGCCACGAAGGAATGTAATTTAAACTAAGGCGTTAGATTATTTCAATCGACCTTAATTTGGTAAGTAATACCCTCTACCCTTTCCTTTAATATGAACCTAGTAAGGTGACTCTTAAGTTTTTAAATTATCTAAACCCAGTGATTATTAAATTCTCCTTTTTCAATATCCGATTCAATACATTTTCAGTATCTTTTCAATACAATGCCTCAGCGGGGTAACTTGAAATTCCGATCATTCGTGACATTAAGGAAAGACCACCATTAGACGATCATATGAGGAAAAATATATAATTGAGAACTTACCGGCACCAGTGGCCCCAACAATCATGAGTACTTTCGTGGGTCCAGCCCCAAGGTTCTTGTTGCCTATTTCATACTTCCTCAATCGACGTTCTTTGGATTCCATCACATTGACCAGGGGGAGATCAATAATTCCAGACGATATGTTGCACTGCTGCTTTATTTCTTCAGCTAGCGACAACTTATGCCATCTCCGTGGTCCCTAATCATTTCAAAAACAGCGAGGTCATATTGATATTGTTTCATGAATAATATTGCTTAGTGAAATTTCAAACATAAGTCCAAATATTTTCAATAAAGAAGCTAAGTGAACTCGTTGAAAATGACATGTTATACCCGATGAGGGGAAAGTCACTTCATACACGTTTAATATAGAACGTAGCTCAACATCTAAGATTATATTGACTGTTGTTTACAGGGAAAGCACAAACAACGCAGAAAAATGATTGTGCAGTATAATTTTAAAATGTAACAGCTCCTTACAGCAGTATTACTCTGAAACAAAAAAGGGACCAACATTAGAAAAACATATTTTTTCCAGCTCGCTGGAACTTTCTTGTGACCTTAGCCTCACCCTGTATTTCGAATTTTATTTCAATAGTAGCAACTTTGAAGCAAGCTAAATTTTTCATTGTGAACTTTACGTCTTTGCCCATGCTTACCATGAAACCTTAGTATCAAAAGTTTGTACAGATAATATAGCCTTTGTTAATATATTTTTAATAGTTATCATATTAATAATAAGTAAAAGTCGACAAAGAGAAGTAAACACGGCTTGCTTGAAGAAAAGTTAACGTTTCAATTTGAAAGAGAATACATTTATAATAATCACCCCAACAGTTTGAAATTCATTACATGTCTGTGCTTTCTAATGATAACATTAAACTACAGAAATTATCACAAAATGTAAAATGTTAAAAACAAAGAATTAAGTTCTTTACTCCAGCACTTTCTTTGTGGATGCATTAGATTTGAGACCCATCGTTGACTAAGGAGAATGAATGGGAACTAACAGCTGAATAGTATGCTTGATCAGGAAAAATATATTGTTCATGAAGAAGACCTCCAGGAAGAAGACATTGCCCAGGAAGTTGTCTAGAAACAAGAACAGCGGCTGAATATGGGGATGTCGAAGTGTAGTTCCAGTTCTCCCCCCTTTCATGACTGGAGAAGGGCTCGTTACTACTTGAAGCGTCTTGCAGTCTTTGTGCTGCAGGATTTTCTACTTGAAAGGACATGCTTTTCGCTTCTTCTTCATTTCGTTTCTTCCTTTCCCCTATTAGTTCTAGGTTTGCAGCGCACTTATTCCTCAAATAGATTTTCAAGTCCCTTTTGCTTTTCTTCAGCCTCACATGTGCCTGCTCGAGCAATTTCTTGCACTGAGGATCCATGACATTGTGGTTCAGTTTGCATCCCATGCAGGTTCCGAGAATGAAGTCCGCACAAATATGCATCTTGACGCATCGATAAGCACCTTTGCCACATTTATCCAGGTTGTATTCCTCGCAAAGATGAGGAGCGATAGTGTCCTGTTTGAGCAACTTCTTCAGATTCTGTGGCGTGGGATTCTCAACGTTCAACTTGCGCAGCAGCTCACAATTAATGTCAGTGTCGAACTCGTGGCCGTCTTCGCAATCGGAGTCTGGGCATAGACCGACGAGATACCTGGGACAGATGTGTAATGCATTGCACTTTTCACGACTGCATCCTTCCGGGCTCTGGTAGTCCTTGCATACCGATATGTACTGCGTTTCTGACTCTTGAGAACTGCTTAAATCATCCTCCATAAGAAGAAGGTTCAGTTCCTCTCATTGGCTTTTTAAATTTTCTTGTGCAGCACTTTCTTCGAGAAAAATCCTGAAAGCAACAGATGTTGAAGAAGAAAAAATATGTGCATCTCACACTTCTAAAATTGTTCCAGGGTTCAAGCAAACATGAGCATAACGTTAAAATGTCCCATTTACAAGAACTCGAAATTTAAAATGGCACATGGAAGTTGAATGAATGATATTCCAGAGTTAATTCCTGACAACCAATTAAATGTGCCCGAGTAGCACATGAATACTTCAGTAACATTTCCTTTTTAGGGTTCTGTCAACATGTTATAAACGCCCTTGGAAATGTACCACTTTCAAGGGTGCATGTCAGAACGGCTGTGCTGAAAATTTATTCACATCCGACTCAATCTTCTGTTGATATTTTCGACATGCCTTACGTTGCGCAACACTCGATGCATTTAAATGAATTACGTTTGGATTTTTGGTAGAGTACCGTTGAGTCAATTATGAAGCTGAGCTATCTCTTCTTCATCCCCCCAGTCAGAGTTTCCAGGAGACGTTATTGAATCGATTACCACTTCAGAGGAATTTTTTGAATACAGATGGCTTCCCAGTGGTGTCTCTGGAGTAGTACCAGCTACTGTGGGGAAAATATTGTGGGCTAATTACAGCTTTCAGGTATTTCAATTGATGTAACAGCCACTTTGACGATATCTCGAGTCGGTTTGAGAACCTGTCTTCGTTCGAGCCAACGTTAAATTGCAGGCTCGCTATCCCGATCAAGTAGAACGCTGTCAATGATTCAACGTTCTTGCGACAAGTTTGGTTTGAGCCCTTTCAAATTATATATTTAAACGTTATGTTAGCGTTTATCATGTGCTATGGAAGGACGCTCGAAAACTGAAACACGCGCAACATTTTCGACATTGCATTAACACTCCCCTCTGAGCCAATTCTCAGCATGGTTTCCGCACTTTGAAAACGTGTCAAGTTCCATGCGAGCTTCTTAAGGAGTTTTTTTTTGTTCTTGATACCTCATACAGATACCTCGTGGCGATTTCTATGCTTATGTTGATGAGTAAAAATGTTCGTGGCTCCTAGCATCTCCGTCCGCGGTGACAATAATGCTCACAGTTTCAACGAAAAATGTGCTATACTTTTTAATCTAATCAGGACAGAAACTGAAATTATCTGAACAAGCTGAGAGAGAGATTGGTCATGGGTCGGAAAAAAAGAAAGCAGACGTATTTACGATGCATAAGTAGAAGAAGCGGGTGCCGGGTTGACTGAGACACCAAATCAGAGTCCCATTGGCCATGACACCCCACTAAGGTTGGAGGCTTATGGGCAGTTCACGGGCACCTACGCCCATGACTGGCGCGAGTGTTTTTTAAGGTGTACAAGGGGGGGTGGGGAAACTCACTGTCACTCGGACTCGATCCCTGGTTTCACGAATCTCACACAGAGGCCGAAACCACTTGGCCTCCGAATTCCTTGGTCAAGTGGCTCCCAACTGAAACTGCTTTGAACGCCTCCTTGCCAAGTGACACGCATGTAATTTGTTGTTGGAAATTCCTATTTAAAATAACTATTTTATTAACCCGATCTGACCTGATAATTGTCATTTGTATTTCCCGTTGCACCAGTTGACGGATGACACTCAGCTATAATGGAGGTGAGAGGAATCATACTCGAGATAAGGACTCAAACTCGAGATAATCATACTGACGAGAAATTATGGTAGCTGCATGCGAAGTACTCACCGTTTTAGGCTTCCGAATTTCTGGCACATTGAAGGAAAAGTCTGTTTTCCTCAGGTTCCGTCCCGCTCAAGGTTGGGAGTATAGACGAGAGTACGAAATGCATTATCCAAGTTGAACTCGAGCGAAGTAGATAAGATAAGCATGGTTTGCATGTTTTCTGTGTAGTACACCCGAGACGATAATAGACTGCATATGATACATTTAAAACCGGTAGTTTCACCTAGCTTCCTTAGTAAGAATTCATTTCGTGCAAGATAAATATATTTGGCTTTTCGAAATGTATTCTATGCATCCACATGTGTTTAAAACTATACATTTTTTGTGAATGATAAGCCCGAGGAAAGGACTTTCCTGGTGAGACCACGATTTCGCAAAATTAAGGGACAAAATCTCGCTCAGTTAAGAGGAAGGGGCTTTCATTTCTTAAATCACTTCACGAGTACGATTTCACGGGGAAATTACGGCTGAGGGTGACTGAAAATGAAATAATTGTTTTTGAAAAATGCGACATCTAAATCGGGGTAAATACAGTCATTGGGATGATATGGGCCATCCAAACCCATCCTTAAAATGACCAAATGATCAGGTTTGGAGAATTTCGACAATAGGACCATTGAAGAGCATAAGTAATAGCTGAAACGCTATAACCCCGTTCATAACTGCAATGCGCACAGGAAGTCAGAACTTTCGTAACATTTGCATAGATGTAGAAACCACTTGTTTCAAGATATTCTATGGTCCCTCCAGAATGCTTGAAGAAAGTGATTATAATTTCACTTGAAATTAGCAAGCAGTCTTATAAAAATGTAGCATACGCAGAAGCCAGCATTGGACATTACGGTCATCTCGATTAAGGATGAATTGGAAACTTCCAACATTTCATGTAAAAACTGCTCCGACCATCGAAAGTGTGATGTTCCATTTCTGTGATTTTCTAGATACCAAAGATCATTCTATGCACATCCGCTGGACAATCATTAGGAACTGCGTGGTGGATAACGACATTTAAAGTCGTTTGTGCATCCACTGGATGCAATGCAGAATATTTTATTTTGCTTCAAATTCGAACGTTCGGTTTCTGTCAAAGGCCAAGGTTAACCAATTCTGGGGAATGATGTTAGGTCAGTAAGGGTAGCGGTCATCGGCCGCGATTACTTTCTAATCCAACTGACCGTTCATCTACAAAATAAATTGACTCTCGCGCATCCAACCAAACATGGAAGGAATGTGGCTCGCTTGGTCTGTGTTCATCCTGCCTTCTCTGACGGTAGTTAGGGTATATAGCAAACGCTCAAAGCATTGAGTGGGAAGTGGAAAACACAATAGATTGCATAGTACCAAAAATTATATGGCATGGCTTTCTTTCTGTCCCAAGAAGTCCATCTACATTGCTCACATTCATGCATTGATGGAGTATGTGCTCTTATATATTTTATATAAGGAAAATATATATTTCATACAACATATTTAAAAAAATACGATTCACGAAATTACAAATTCATGGTAGTACCAATAGAAATTGCATTCTTCAGTGAAGATGCGCATTAGGAGTCAACTCTTTCCAATGATACCCTTCTGCACCGAATAGTTCCGTCACTTTCAAGTTATGGTTAATTAAAATTGAATTAAAGTCAACGGGGAACAATCAGATGCTGGACTCCTATAGACTTTATGAAAGGAATGAACGATGAGCTCGACGACACTGGGAGAGGGAATGGGATGCCACCGACAGGTTTCGTGCATGTCATTGGGGCAGATTTGAGTTCGTCCATGCGTTTAGTAAAAACTGACTACTTTTGAAAGTGTGGACCTCATTGCAGAAGGTTTCCGGATCGTCAACGAAAAGAGAGACTTAGCGAACGGCCTCACACTCGTCGAAGTTTCCGAGTCCCTGCGCGTTAAAATATAGGCTTGCATGTCAGGTCAGCGAAGGCTACCTTTGTGTCTGTATTCCGAGCATTTACCTCGTTTCCTTTAATTTAGTCTCGATTCCCAAGTTTCATTGGAAATCGGAGATTAGCTCTCGTCACGTCATCTTTTGATGAACTCGGAAACGAGAGTTGCCGCGGCTCTCAAAAGTGAACGCTGCCATCGCTCACGAAAATGCCTCCCGCCTGCTGACGTGAATCGAGGGATTTGAAGGGCCCATGATGAAATTAAGGGCGATTCCTCAGCTCGTCGCCACCTGCATTTACACAGGCTTTCGCAAAGAAACCCATCCATTAATTTCCTCGTTTGTTTCTATGACTCTGAAAGCAGATTTGCAGAATTTCGCGAACAATCCAAGGAGGTCGGCGAGAACGAGAATTTATCTAAGGGTTGGATTGTTTTCCCATATCGTAGTTGCATTGTTAGATGGAAAAAACAATACAGTCGTACTGCTTGAGAGCCGGGATCTTACAAATAAAAAGCCATCAGCAATACGGTGATTCGCAAATAGTCCCTTTGCTGTGTGTTGCATGTTACTTAGTTTCTTCCCCTCCATTTCTATTCACTTCCCTCGCTCCAGTCACATGATTGGGTGCAGAGGAAAATGACGAGTTCAATGAAACCTATCGGCTTAATGCATATAACATCCCCAAGTAGCACATAAACGTTTTCGACAACGTTTTACACATTTTCAAAGAGGTCTTTGGACGTTCAATGTACAATAATGGGCATCTTTTTGGCCATCAGATGAGGTGCCTTTTAATCACAAAATATGCTGCATTTTAAGGACATTTTTCGAGTGCTTAATATGCTTTCTTAACGCACAACAATGGTATCCATGTGACAACGGCTTGAAGCCAAGGTTCTCACCATCCATGCTAGATGGCGCCAAGGTAGTCAGTTACACATTTTATCAATAGGCTTTAGTAGCGCCTATTACATTTTCTTCAACCCCTCCCCAAAAAACAAAATTCCACTGTCTCGTATTCCTCTTTGAGAGCATCAACAGGAACGAAATTGGGCATACTTCTTCCTCTCTCGTCATAGAATCACTCCAGAAAATTTGAAGCTTCATCTGCCCGGAGTTGTGCAGAACACTGAATCTCACTTTTCGAGGATGTAAATTTAATTCACTGAAAATTGTCTAGCGTTCCACGTCCCACTGAAATGGTTCATGAAACATGAAACAACCCTGGAATCGGCCTAACGTTACACGTCCTCTCTTATATAGTTCGTG